CTAAGCCTCAGCCGTACGACAAAACAGCCCGCACTGTAGCTTGATACACACGCCCCATGAGATTAAGGGATACACCACTTTGATGCCATGGGTGTCTCAAATTAGCAAACGCGACCCGAGTCTTGCAGAATTGTGGATTGACCTCATCTGTCGCACTATACACAGAACTAATACAATTTAAAATTACGTGAAACGTTTCACAACTTCGAGTGTCTCTCTCTGGATTGTGGCTGGCATGCTCAGTGAATGCACGTCTAGGAACATTACCTTACACTTTGTGGATACACAAGGACGTGGTGACTTAGATCAGTTCATCACCTTCTTCTCGTCTTCGAAGACGGGGACGATATCGTCTGCATATTCCAAATCGATAAGGTTTTTGACACAGACTATTTGAACTCCGGGGTTCCAAAGACCCTTCAGCACTCCACTCATTATCCAATCGATCACGAAATTAAATAGGAATGGAGAGTGTGCACCATATTGTGTACGGAAGCTTTTGGAGAGCTCTCCGTATAGTAGGAGGGCATGTGCTGAAACGTAAACGCGTTTTAAGCGCTCTCCCTTCCTTAATACGCGAAAAGCATACGAAAGCTAATCGAATCTTAATGACACGATTGCTTATTCCATCACTGACCCCTGTAAGTGTCTAAATATGATTTTTCCACAACTTTGGGCGCAGATATCAGCGACGAAATTCGGTGTTGACCAATCTCATACCGTAAGTGCATGTTAAAGCGAAGACAGATTCAATCCAAAACGCTCCATTGAAGTCGTCAGTTTGTCTAGCACACGCTGGACTCGATATAGTTCGGTGGCATCTTACGGACCGGGATGTCCATGGTTCGAACCTAACTTCAGTATCTCGACTGCCTTATCTAGGCTTGGGCAACCTGGCAGTATCCCAGCCCTCATGCCTCATTCCGTTGGTATGAAGGTTGGGCACACAAAGAGTGCCACAGCCGAACGATTTTTTTAGATTTATGCTGGGCGTCTTGCACGTTGTCAAAACCTGGCGCTACGTCGTCCGCGTACTCTGAGTAACAAGGAGCTTCTCTCATAACATACACGGGGGTAACGTTGAGTGTATTTTCCGTGATGGAATAGAATAAAAGGGAAGAAATCGACCAATCTTCTGGAATCCTGACTGGGATAGCAAACTGAGACTGAAGCGCGCCGTACGGACGTTAATGACTTTGTTCGTTAGTCAGAGGATACATTTTTGCCTGCATGATAAGCATCTTTTACATCAAGTAAGGACAACTGGCCGATGCATCCCTGGTCCTATCCTATTTTTCATGAACATTGTTCGCTAGCACAATAGTCAGCCAAGAATTATTTTCAGCTAAAAGTTTTGAATCAGCATTGATGGCAAGAATAACGCAGAGGGATGTTAGTGCTCCTTCAAAGGTTTACATAATTCCTAAAAAGACTCCATGTCAGTATACCCGCGTCGGGTCCCATCTTTGAATAACACTAGTGACTGCTTATCTAGACCTGGAGTTTGTTCCTTTCTGAATGACTAATCTCGCTACTGGTGACCTCATTTAATATCAGAATCTGTAGAATGGGCCAGTTTGTACAAACAAGTAGGCAGAACGCGGTTGCGTGGACACTACAACAGTTAAACTGTTGGACGAAGCTTTTCATCCGTCGTTTAATACACATAGGCATTCTAGTTATTAACTAGTCTGAAGGAAATCCGAAGGTAGTCGGTAATTAACAGATTTCAAAGCCGTCGAAGATGAGTTATTAAAGAAGTTGAGACGACTCACAAGCCACAGGAACGTCGCCGAGTGCCGCTGCTGAACATCTCAAGGTAGCACATTTTCCGCAGTCTTCCTTGTTGAACCCCCACAACAGGAAAGCGAAGCAGAAATAAAAATATCATGAATAGTTTGAAGAAGCGGGTGTAAAAACAGTAAAGTTTGTTCCGTTTTACATCCGAACCTAAGGAAGTAGGATGTAGGGCTTATGTTTACGGTTGGTCGCATTATTTGCACCGACTTTTGTGCGCACACGTGAGTAAAAGTGTCCCCTTTGCTTTGGCCAATTGTCTCGGTTTATTCTAGAGATTACTGCACCACCGAATACTCTTCCAAGAGGACACCACTGGAGCAGAATCAGGAAACAGCCGTC